AGTGGCCGACGTGAAGACCCAGTATGGTATTTTTCGACGACCAGTCTCCAAACTATGTCGAATGAATATAACCCAGAGTGAAGAAACAATCCATCAAGATGTTCCTCACTAGGGGGGAGAATGTTGTTGTTCATAATGATTTTATTTTCATAACATTCTGTAGTTATCTTGGAAACGGAATCAATATGTATTGTCAGATAATTAAATAATTTTGAAAAGTCATACAGTCCATTAAAATATCAAGAAAAGATATATTTCTGACCGACTGAATTGACACCTCATATCACTCATATTTACAATTATTGTATAGTAAATAATGTTTTTCCGTCAGTTTGGAAACAATCTAATGTTCTCCCACTTCCCAAAATCCCCAATCCGAAGGATACAAAAGATTTGAGGCCCATCAGCATACTTTGCGCCCTATCAAAAGGCTTTGAGAAAATTATAAACGAGCAACTTAGAAAGCACTTATCACTTTCCAATATTTTACCACAAAATCAATCGGGTTTTCGTCAAGGACACAGCTGTACGACTGCTCTGGTCAAAGTCACAGACGACATCTATCGCTCCATTGATGAAAATAAGTTATGCGTATTAGTGTTGCTTGATTACACGAAAGCTTTCGATAGAATCAACCACAGCCTATTGTTAGCTCTTCTTCACTACATAGGGATGTCACCAAATGTGATAAGTCTCACCGAAAATTATTTACATGATAGGACCCAGGCAGTTCTCATCCCAAATCACGATATATCACAGTCACTTCGTGTTACTTCAGGAGTGCCACAAGGCTCTATTTTAGGACCCTTATTATTCACCATATATACCTCGCAGTTTCACAAATATCTCCAACATTCCAATTCCCACTTTTATGCCGACGATACCCAGTTATATTTGTCATTTGAAGAAAGTGATGTGCAAAATGCATGTATGATACTGAACAATGATCTGCAAACACTATCAACTATGTCACATAAGTATTGCCTGAGTATTAATCCTTCAAAATCGAAAGCTATGCTGTTTGGTAGGAAAATAACACGGAATAGGGTACATAATCAAATTGCACTTCAAATTGAGAACGTGGACTTGCCTCTCAGTGAATGCGAGAAGAATCTAGGCGTTTTACTGGACACTGACATGAAATTCACCAACCATGTTTCATCAGTAATAAAAAAAGCTTTCTGTAGTTTGAAACTCATTTATAGCCATAGACAAATTCTTACCAAACAATGTAAAATAAATCTTTGCGAATCGTTGGTACTTTCGAAACTTAATTATGGTGACTGTGTATATGGACCTGCCTTATTGAAATCTGACTGCCGGCGGATTCAGTTGATTCAGAACTCGTGCATCAGGCTAATTTGTGGGTTGAGAAAGGGTGAGCATATTTCACGAGCTTTTGCGGATGTTGGATGGTTGAGGATGGAGGAAAGAAGATTGCTTCATTATTGCGTTTTTTATCATAAAATAATAACTGCCAAAAAACCTCCTTATCTCTTCAATAAACTAAGGTTTCGTTCGGATATGCATAGTATCAATATACGCAGGAAAGATGGTATATCTCTTCCCAAACATAAAACAACTGCTTTCAGAGCATCTTTCTCCTTCCATGCCGCAAAAATCTATAATTCAATTCCTGTTAATATGAAACATTTGTCTGTCAGCAATCTGAGAAAGAGAATGAAAGCAAAACTTTGGAATGAAAATGTTATCTTGTGAATATTCAGATGTTTATAGTCTATTTTCATTATTTAATTTTTTTTTGCCACACAAGATACAGTTATTGTTTTCTCTTTCCTTACTTTTTCTTTCCTTATTGGGTTTTTTATCATGGAACATTTATATGGATGTCATTATAATTATTACTAGAACTTTATTTATTTTTTTCATTCTATTATTATTTCTTGAATTTTTTTTTTTTTTGTTACTGAAGGTTGAGTGGAAGAGCGCCGCTTCTTAACTTCACAGTTGTAGAAGTGCGAACTCTGCCTTTTGCATAGATAGGTTTACACAGACACATACATATATCATAAATATAGTTGTTATAATCATGTTCATATGATATTATTACGATTATTGAGATACAAACCAACTCATTATTCGTTTAGTTATATTTACCATGTGTACCTATCTATCTGTTGCAATAAAATCATTTATTATTATTATTATTATTATACCATGATTCTTTCCGTGATAGTTTCGCCATACATATTTGATTGATTGATTTTGATGATATTTCATATATCAGACATTCGAAACATATATGAAAATTCATGTTCATGAATATAAGATAGATGGATAGATGGATAGATTAATTTATGTTACAACACAATAGTGTTCATACAAACGTCAATAAATAAATGAAATAAAATGAGTATAATGAAATATATTCTTCAAATGAGATGGAATCAGATGAAATTAGATGAAATAAATCGGCACAAGCTACATATCATGGAAGAATATCACGAAAAATCGAACATAACTATAATACATAGAACAATGAAAAAAATTACAAAATAGTTTGATCTTTGGTAGAAGTCCATATTGCTCAAAGTGGAGTGAAATATTTCACAGGAAGGAAGGAATGCTCGAAGTCATCTACACAAATTTCAATGATTTTATCACTAAATCCTGAGGGACATGTTTCGGTCTTATAAAAGACCATCTTCAGCCTAATTGAAGGTCTACAATACAAAAACAACTGATATTGAAGTGAAAGAGTTACCTATTTTATGCTTGACTTACTTGGAGTCGAAAAAATGTTCATATTATGATGCTACTATGCCTTGAACTGTCAATGCCCATAGTCAAGAGTTCCAAGGTTCTGAAAAAACGGGTTCTCAATAAATGAAGGTTCCCGTACCCTGCGAGCGTATACTATTTATTTTCTTTTTAATGGACATTCCATATACCAAAGTGGTATATGAAGGGTATTGTCAAGAAGTTTGTTATTTGACAACATCATAAAATAGCGGGTTTTTCGAAAAAGGCGTTCCTTGTGCCCTTATGAAAGCGTTATTTAAAGAAGAATATCAATAAAATTGATGGGGAAAACAGCCAGCACGTGTTTGAATCTAAACTAATTTGGTTAGAAAACACTGAAAATTATGTAAATCAAAGACATGGACAAGACGTTGACATAGTCAATGTCAATTTCAAGGGATAAAACATGAAAATCTGACCATGAGCATAGCTTACAACAGATATTGTTATATGCCCTCATGATTTAGTAATAATATCATCAACATTTGTGGAGATGACTTCGAGCATTCCTTCCTTCCTGGAAAATAGTTTGAAGTTCAGTTTCGACGTGATATGCTGGATATTCATCAAATGTGTGGAATCTTGCTTCAATCAAAACATTTTCGAATTGATTTTTGAATGCCTGTAGACTCCAATTGGCCGCTGAGTTCCTCAGGAAGATTATCGAGAAATTTTATGGCGAGATATTGGAATGATTATACTTTTATGGAAATGCTTGATTTGGTAATTTCATATTTTATTTTTCCTCTTGTATTGTATGGTATGTATATCTTTATGACTTTTCATTCCAGACCGAGTATGAGACATGTTTTTCTTCATGCGAATTCTCTACTCACTACTACTTTGTTACCCTTGTATTGTTCAGCCTGAGTTGATAATTGTTATAATTATAAGTGAACTAATATGAGGTCATTGTTGGAAGTGAATCTGTAGTGCAACCCCTTTTTATAGTCTCGTACCACTTGCTTCACCCCTGTAACAGACAATAAATAGGGTGAAACGAAGTATAGTTCATATAATATACTCCTCACCAATATACTGGTTATATCACGAGTGAACACAACCTCAACGGTGTTTTTCGATAAATGACGGCAATATTTCACACCGTAGCTAAGTCGGCTACGCTTATATTTCCTACAGATACTTCAATGAACAATTTTCTTCAAAATTTTCTGCTATCATTCCATTACTAGCAATATCTGTCAGTCAAACCAGACAGGCCCAGTCGCACATCCATTCGTTGTTAACGTTCATAGATGTCGAACAACACTATACCTTGACTCGTTAATCAATATAAAATCAAGGTTTATTATTATATGCTAACGAAAGTTTTTTTTATTAGAAATAACCTCCAAGAGTTGATTGAAGTTCAACTAGCACGATATTCTGCAAACATCATATTGATTTCTTTCGTGTGCTACAAGAGATACATTAGCTGTTTCGAAATCTAGGAATAATCCTCGAAACTTCTAGGAATGATTTCTCTTCCTTGGCTTTCAGAGAAAGTTTTCATCAACAACTCAAATCTTTATTAGTCGTATTGGTTCCCCATTATCTCACCAACAATCAGTACATAATTCCAGATAGCAGTATATTACTAGCTGTATCAACAAAAGAGACAATTTTCACAATGTCAATGTTTGTATTCAGGAGATGAAATTCATGTGTCAGGACTCTGATCATGGAACAACCAACTACCTTGTGAATACCAAGGATGTCAGTGCTAATGATTTTTTATGCTTAACAGGCATATTATAAGGTGTAATTTCTTTACCTAGGTATCAAGATGGCTCGGATTCAGATTACCTGGAATATGTTATGGAAAAATTGTTGCTAAAGTGCGCGTTGTCATGGTGAAGAGTCGATCAAAAACTCAATCCTGTTGTGAAGAAATGCATCGTACCTATATTCGAGGAAGTACTTTTGCGTTCTCCGTGAATCATTTCCTGAATCTCCCACAGTATAGATGTTATTTAGCTGTGCCGGTTTGTTGTCGATTTGACTTCTTCCAGTTGAACTTATTCAAGTCAGTTGGTCAATTGCATATTCGAATTGGGACGTAATCGTGATGTCACTCTGCTACCTGAGTAAAGTGAACTCAAATATATTTTTGTTTTCAGAAAAATGTTCACTGTTGACCAGTATATATAGACTGCTGCAAATGAGTGCATTGTCTTCGACCCCAACAAATTCAGCACTGAAATATCGAATTATTCTTGTTAGCTGGTGAGCTACAGGCGGTCTCTCGTCTCTAAAGAGCTATTCTAATACACATCGCGTCATGAAAGAACAGTGACAGTTAAAAACTTGCCAAAGGAGCACGTGCCCGCATACGCGACGGAAATCCGTGTTAAATGATAGAATAATTGAGTGCAGTGAGTGGTTTTTCATTTGTTCATCTTTGCTCATTGCATTTCTCTTTTCTGTTTGCACTAGTTGGGTATTGTGCTGTTTCGTGATGAAAATGCGTGAAAATGCAACTTGTAGAGTTGTTGGAAAATGTTTGGAGTTTGAGAAAACAGTGAATTTCATGGAGAGAAATTGAATTATCCGGTGTGGAATTGGGTTTGTTTGTTTTCTCTTTCGAAATATTCAGTTACATACCAATTATAGTGAACAAAAATTGAATTATTCAGTGTCGAATTGGGTTTGTTTGTTTCCTCTCTCGACATATGCAGCTACAAACAAATTATCATGGTTTCAGTTGCATTAGAATAGAATAGAATACATTTATTGCTTCAAAAATATACATTTTATAGCAAGGGTTCGAAAGTACAGGTGCAAACATATATGAATATTGAACATAACTAGATGCAGTTGCATTAACCTGACATACTTATATTGAAACTCTTCGGGTGATTCAATTCTAACAACAGTTTGTTGAAGATAGTTTAACGACCAAACATTCATAGAAATTCATGATTGACAAAGAATTGCATTTTGATATTTATTCTCGCAGATTGCGAATCTCTCAACATTGTTGCCCATATTGAGTCCTCATCTGTTAATGGGATTCATAGGATTGTCGAAAATTTGTTAGGTAAGACAAAAGAGTGGAGTTGATTTCTCTATATTTTTGAGATTCAGTCTTCTCATCCCTACACAGATAACAAAAATTTTTTGATTCAATGCGGAACCGCATTATGATTCAACCATGAATAGGTCCAACCGAGGGTCCAACCTAATAGTTGTTTGATTCATCTACATAGAGATTTACATACCTCCATGGCCCATTCATAACAAACATTGTTGATTCGGATGAATATTTATTCATTATCACAGTAACTATGTATTGGTCGAAGAAATAATCAATTTGTTTGGAATCAGAAAATTATTGTATTGTCAAGTTATTTTTCCATCATAGTCGAGATCATATTATAGTTGAACAAGTTTGTTCTTGAATCAATAAATTTTGAGTTTGTCAGAATCAAATAATGTCACTTTAAAATGCGTGGATATTTCTCCAGAAGATTTTTATTTTCTTGTGCCAACAAAATATCAATTTGAAAAAAAAAACAAAATACATTTTACTATCAGTGTATTGATGTTGTTACAGTTGATGAACAAAAAGCATTATTATCGAAATTCTGTCATCCCATCAGAACAATGAAGGATGATAACATGTATAAAATGAATCGAAACACATATTAAACTATAACCATCAAATAATGTCTGTATCTTCAACTAGAAGGTGAAATATTAATTCTTTCAGATTCATATGATTTGCTGTCCTCGTGCAGTAGAATCTCCATTCCAGGAATTTGCTGCTTCTTCTGCAAAACAGCTCGTTAAATGCTTATACATATATTGAACACAAACGAAATTTCAAGAGAATGAGATATTTTCTGAATGCAATAAATTCTGCGTTCCACAAGAAAGCCTGTATAAAACATGTTGGGTATATCTGGAAATACGGAGGAAAGAGACAAATCATTATAAGTTGAATCATTCTGATCAAGGAACAAGTCAAAAATATACAAATAATGAATAATTACCTTTACCTACCTATACCTATCAGGGAGTTCATCGAATCAATGCGACTGATCATATCGTCACAGCTGAACGAATGTGTTGTGCAGGCTATGAATATTGAAAGTGAGTTATAGTTGTGATTTGAGGCTTGTTCTGAGCAAGTTGCTGATGAAATAGCAAACGAAAACACCTAGGTAGAACTATGTTAAAGAAATATACAAAGTTCAGAGTTCGTTCCTGGTCGGAATAATTACCCATACCAATATGTATTCACCCTACCTTCCTCATTGTCAATTGTCCTCAAATATGGAATGTCGCATTGCTGTGGAGATGATAACACAGCAACTATATATCCATGACCCAGCATTCATAAACGCACTTCACTATTGTGTAATGCATCATCTTCAGAAGAAACAACAGTGACAATGGCAAATGGCTTCTGACGACTAACTAGTCCAATGGGCGCAAGAGTTGTTATCTCTCACGGCTGTATATACGTCACTGCGAGCCTTTCAGACGAGCAGAGATTTTGGAAACAATATTGATCAAAATTTATGTCACTGGTAGTCGCGGTTTTCTTGGGTGAAGCAATATACTGTGAATATTGGACGAATTCATATAAAAAATAGGAGCAACGGAGCAAATTGATTGATTTGAGACGAATGTATATTGCTCAATTCGAATCAAATTTTTTCAAATAAAACAACTTAATTTCATGAAAATGGATTCGTTAGATTGAAGAATTTTTTTCATTAATAACGATTTGGGAATTATTTCAATGAACCTACTCCGTGACCTACTTGTATTTTGGACAAATTTGATAATTAGGTTCGAATGGATGTCACTGTATTTTGTATTTTCTATCGACACACTCTCGTGAGAGAAGTTATATGGTTCATCCAATCAATTGAGATTTTACATTTTCACATTGAGTTCTTAGAAATAAATACCATATTTTCTCCATATCAACAAAAACAGAAGGTTTCACCATCTGCAATACTTTCTCCTCAGTAAATCATATCTGATTCATCACAAGAAATGCTTCACAAAAACTCAGATTCTTATTTCGTGCAGAAAACTACTTCATTCCTCCAACAGCTCCTGATAATCTACAGGGCACAGATACGGCAAATTTTGCAGTACTGTTCTCATGTATGTGATTCAGCCGGGTTCAGCACCCAACCATACGCTGATGCTCTCAGATTCCATCCAGAGCTGAGCCATCTGCTTGGTGTGTGATGCCACACTCACCAACCCTTTGACCTCATCAGAACAACGTAGGAAAGTTGATAACCTTTCATCGAACACAACAGAAATGAGTTGAGTGAACTCAAAAATGTAAAACATACCTTTCACAAATTGTAGTTTCTCATAATTTATCAACAGTTATCATTGAAATTAGTTATATGATTTTTTTCAATTAACTTCCATTCTCCATTTTCATAATCAGTTCTCAGAAATAACTACTTTGTTTTCTTCATAACAACTGAACAGAAGGTATAACCATCAGCAAAAATCATGTCCGGTTCATCGCAAAAGCTGCTCCACGAGAACTCGGATTCTTGTTTCGCGCAAAAATCAACTTCAAATCTACTTTACGCCTCAACAGCTTCCAATAGTCTACAAAGCACAGATACTGCCAGTTTCAGAATACTGTTTCCATTTATGTATTGAGCAAATTCGGCAATCGGTTGCTCGAATAAAAGTCGATAGTGACAAGAACATTGTCACCGACCAGTAGGAATATGAGGTACTTGAAGTGGGCAAAACAATATTTCAGGAAAAATGTTTTCGCTGTGAGTAATCAGGACCCTGCTTGTTGGTATTAACCAAATCGTTTTATATTTTGTGGATGCTAATTGGAAGTGAACTCTAAGCTAGTGCTAGGTTAACGAGTACTCACCATTATTTAATGATTTTTCTGAGACAAAATTACTTGCTCTGAGCGAACTCATCGATAGAGAGAATCTATCAAGTCGATTGATGCAGGTAACATCTCACCTGTGATTATTCATCTCTTTTCTGTTCAAACTCCTCTGATATTTTATTCGGGTAACCACGCCTGACGTGACCACTCTCAGTGTCCACTGCTTCATTATAATCTTAGCATTTGTGAAGTATACATGCATTCTTGCTAGTACAACTTGAATTCCAAGTCATGTGTGTGCCTTCCTGAACAACTGCTTTATCATATTCGTGAAGGTTTCCAGTTTGTAAGCCGCGCTCTGAGATATGGGGTGTTGAATTCCAATTCTGTTATTCGACCAATTTTGGGAGTTGTCTTTACCGATACCACAGCGATCAGGCCAACTCAGCTTGTCACACTGCTTGGACTCGTTTACGAGTGTTGAGATTTTAGACGGCGAGGAGAAACCAACTCGCTCGATGTGTAGAGAGAAAAGAAAATGTTTGAAGTCATTATTCATCAACAAGTTCCCAAAAATTTTAGTTATACATCTGAAACGTTTCTCGCAGACTGTAGAGTTCAGTGAGAAACTTAACACATTTGTCGACTTCCCCTTGATCGGCTTGGACATGAGCCCCTATGCAGCTGAAGATATCGTACCATGTCCTTACAATCTGTACGCTATCTCAAACCACAGCGGTACCACCTACAGCGGACACTACACAGCCTACTGCAGACATCTATATACGAAAATTTGGCACGAATACAATGATTCCCTGGTTTCTTCAATTTCGTCGAACTCTCTCGTAAGTGGGGATGCTTATATTTTTTTTTACCAACAAGAGGCTCACCCCAAATTCGAACAACGTGATGTTGACTCTGTGAAGAGCTACTGCTCCGTAGCTGATTCCGATAGCACCCTTCGTACAGTCCACTATTTCGCTGATAACCACGACATGTTCAACACAGTCGTGGAGAAGCATGAAACTCCAGTTTACCTAGCTCCAGCTGCACACTCTGACCCAGTAGATATTGTATACTCTGGTCCAGTACTGAATGTATACTCTGCCCCAGTACAGAAGGTATATTCTGCCCCACTTGCACATGCTTGCTCCAGTACGTGCAGCCCAGTATGTGCACGCTGCCCCAGTCGTTCTTTCTGCCCCAGCTCACTTGTGGAGTGAATGAAGTGGAAAACCATTATTTATTCATTATGTTATGTTTATATGTTTATTCAATTTGGAATATATTTTGATTTATTTTCTTTTGGAGAAGATGATGAAATACATTATTTTCTCAGAACAGTAGATAATTATTGTTGATTTCAAATTCCATATATACTTCCGATGATACTCGATTGGGGAAAAAGTGACGTTTGGTGCATGATTCTGATATATACCTGATATCTATAGTGTCACGATATTTTTCGTCAGATTCATCTTTCTGTAATTCCTAGATTCATCATGGCTATGCAATAATCGTTTTTCACCAAGGTTATAATTTTTCATGAAACAACTCGTCGAACAATATATTATGTAATTTTGTATAGTATACCTAGGTAAACTGACAGGTAAATGAGTCACTAATGACAAGGAAATAAATCACTTTTGACAGGTTAATAAGTCACAAATGACATGTTGATGGTTTACTGACGACAAGTGAACAAGTCACTGATGACAGGTGAATGAGTTGATAATCGCAAATAGATGAGTCACTAATGATGATGACGAAATATTCAATAGATGCGTGAGAAGTGGAACTTTTTTGCTCAACATTTTGTTCACGCCATTTATAGCAGTTTGATACCTAGAAATAATGAGATCTCAACATTTCACTCTTGAATGGTACTCTTGTTTAGTTTCCATAGCATTCACCATTTTGGAGAGAAATCTTTACTCAAATTCTGCTGTGTGATTAAAACACTGTTTGACTGAGGAATGGAAATCTAATTGGTCAGGCTATCATTGTCTAAATATATTAATGTGCAGGTTATTTTCGGCAGGATTTTTTTGACAGGATATTATTGTACTGGATATTTAGTCGTGCTCCCGTTTTTTCCTTCTGAGGAATACCGAATTTTTCCTAGGATTGAGTTTCGATGGAAATTACTCCTCTCTCAATTCAACGTATGCTTTTCATTTTGTTTTCTATTTTTGAAATCGAACATCACCAGTCGATGTTCGATCACTAAAATAGAAAGCACAATAAAGAGCATACATTAGAAAATAATATCATAGGTACCCTACTCGGTACCTTATCAAGCAATAGTAATATTTTTATCACGCAGCAGACCTTCGAATTCGAAAATGGTGAGTGCTATCGGAACTGAACAAAAGAAATTTTACTAGTAAACATTAAATATCAGCATACTTCTTGGTCAAAGTGCCTAAACAAGAAAGTTGATGAAAGAAGTGCCCCCAGCCTCATGCCTATTTTCCACGCCACTCATCAAAACTCATCAACATTTCCGAATGAGGCATGAAACTAAGGTACTACATGAACAAAATTTGGTTATTGCTTCACAGAGAGTTCCGGGAACACAAAACCTTCAGCTCACCAGATGGCTATCAACCTCCAGAGATCCATTTTTTACCCATGTTCATTTGAACTCCTTTCAGTCTTTCTGGTTCTTAGAATCTGTTGAATGAATTATTTTTTCCCTAAACGGCAGGGATAGTGACTTCTTTCTGCCACTTAACAGGCAGAAAAGGTGTACTTTCACTGCCTAGTCAGGAAGAGTTTGTTGTTATGCAACGTTCCAAGAAATTCTAACGAAATTAGTAATCGAATTGTCACTGACAGTTGGTGGACACAAAATGATGGAGTTTTCAATGAAAAATTACACGAAATTGGTTTTATAACATTTGGAGAAAAAATTCTATGTTTCACACGGCAGCAATTGTATCAGCTCGGGTATGACCTATCAGTCGCGGTGTCAATCTACTACTTTTCTGCCTGGTGGAACAAATACCTATTTATGTAATCACGGGGCACCTTATGTAATAAACTTGCACTGATGCGTTTAAATGTGTTCGTTGCAGAACGTAATGAGTTGAAACTTCTCATTCTGGTGATTCCTGCATATTGCGATTCTTTTTTCAAACCAGAATAGAAATTGTCCTATTTGGAATTTGAACATTCGAGAATGCATCTTGTGAAGTAAATCTGTGGAATTTGGAAAATCATATACTCATTCTTGATTTGATATTCATCGAAAGTTCCATACTAATCATCAGAGTTTCAGCTGCTTCAATTTGGTCAACTGCTACTTGGTGATCGTTTCGAAAATCAATAGAGTTTGATGTGGGTGAGAATGAAAGGAAACCCAAAATTTTGTCAGTGAGAGAATGAAAAATATCTTATAACCTCGAACTCGATGAAGAATTCATGTCCAGGTAACTTTTTTGTCATGATAAAATTGTTTATGATTGAATAAAATAATTAAGTATGAATAAATTGTAACAATTCCTCTCACATACTCTTGAAAATCCCCATATATTTCTACCCACCTATTGAATTCTCCTATCGATCCCAAAATATTGTAGATTGAATTCCCTCAATTCCTCATGAATTATCATCACTTCGTACACCAAAATTCCCACTCCAAATCACTCCTTTGATGAACACTGTGATATTGTTTCATAACGATTCTCCACTTTGTTGAGTATTTCGTACTTGGTTGAACTATCAAAATCCAAATATAAATCACTCGTTTCACAATTGAACATTTTCATTCGTCAAACTCCCTCTCAAATATTTGTTTTTTTCATGAAGACTTCTACTTGCTGAACATTTTTATTTCATGTGGAATGCTATTATAAAATCGCCGAGAGTTTTCCTATGATAAGCCATAATCAGTTCTAGATAGCAGGTATATATCGCACTGATGATGCCTCATCAGTCTTGACTTCGAGCTCAATATCTATAGACTCAACATTCTATCCCACTTTGAGCATTCTGGCTTCTTTGCAGTTGAAATTACGTCAGTTGGACAATCAGCCAGTCCCACATCTCACTGATATGGAAATTACAGTTTTGGAGTGTAATTTTTTTTCTTTTTGATCAGATGGTATTACATTGATATTGCCTTTGAGAGACGCCTCTGAGAAAATAACCTGTCGACTCGATTTTTGTTGAATCAGGTTGCACTTAGCTGGCGGTCTTCGAACTGCCAGCTGGTGACTACCCTAAATTGATGAGAGTCAAATAGCTTCGAACCGGTCTATCATCACCTGGCTTCATCAGATTCAATACACTGAAGGAACAGTTTGGTTATAATAAATAAATATGATTAAGTGTTACCAAATTCGTTATTGAAATATAACGCTTGTTTGAAAAATAGAACAATTATTTGTTCATACCTCCATAAATTAGACTCGTGCATGGTTGAATTATGATTATTTCAAGAAAAAATCTATGTGTTAACTAAGAATATATAATTGTTTACCCACACCCGAGCCCACACCAAACGATATATATTATTTTGTAAATCTCTGTTTTTGAATACCAAATATTCATTCATGAGTACAGCATAAAAATAGACCTTTTATTGATAATAAATGAATATTTTGTTCGCTGTTATAATTCAATGTCTACATTTCAGAAAAATTGCTTATTATTGATTCATTGAATTTACTGATGTATAACCACCACTCGTGGATCACCTCGAAGGGGTGTTTCTGAGCCTTATATGAATAACAATGAGTTCAGTGACAGTCAACAAATATTATTCATATAAGTATATAACCAAACTCATCAGCTCCCAGCTATGATGGCATACCCACGTTTCCATGCACATATATCACTTTCTTTCAAATTGAATACTGTTGCATAGTATAAAAAGGTATCCGCACCTATTCACGTCCAAAATGTTCCAATATTGATTAATTAGCACCACATGCACCACTCCTTTTTCTAAACTCACTAAATGTTGTAATATAGATTCACCACGAGATGCACTCATAGTCTTCTGCCATTTTCTTCATATGTGATGTCGTACCTATATGGAATTTGCCCAAGTAGTTGATTGTAGACGTGAATATACATGTCCAGATGTGAACAAACCTGCACTGTCATATAAGGGATTGCTCTAATATAACCAGCGCACTTCATGACTTCCGAAATGGTCGAAATCACAAGAAGATCACCATCGATTTCATAAAGATACTTATGCTACATAAGATGGAAGCTTAACTAAAATGATGGCCCATGCGCATGACAGTTTTTCAATAACTACCAAATGTATCATCAGAATTACCGAACGAAGAATTAAATCAAATATTCATTATTATCCTTCATATTACTTATATTCATTATAAACAGATGTATCATAATGAAGAAACACATAGATTCATCAACAGACACTGTGTCATTGTTTTTCATCTCATTGATTATCACTTCGCAAATCGGCGTAATATAGATGAATTGTTAATCATTAAATGTTGAATGAACAAATATGATTAACCTACAGACAGTATATGACAGTTATGTTGATAAATGAAGCATAAAAACAGGTACGATTGTAATTGATAAGCCTTTCCGATTTTGAAAATGGCTAATTGATCATGAACAAATTTGACGTTAACAAATATTTGATAATTATCATAACTGAGATTTTTCCTTCGGTGTAGGCATTCAAGAAAAGTACAATTGCATCAGTATATCTGTTCAATTCAATGTTTTGCGTTGTAATAGCCAAGAAAGTTGTAGTTTTTTCTTAGTCATCTACCATTATTGTCTCTGATTCAATTTAATGTTGAGGAGTATAATAAGAGCTCCAATGAATGGGACCGTAAAAGAATACATCCTGATGGACTACAAGTTTTTATTTCTGTATCACAACTGATGATTTCTGCATAACAAGTGATGATTTCTGCATCATGAATAAGTTATGATTTCTGCATTACATGCTATAAATCTGTACATACGAGGTATACTTTCTGAATCACAATGAACAAATCTATAGATTCGAAATCTGGCATACATTTGACTATTTCGAATTTCATCTCAAACTTCCTGAAATACATACCTACCCAAATTCCTGGATTCCAATTGAAAAAGGTGTAGAGCTGACTCATTTCATATCGATAATTGTTGCTGAATCAACTACATCAATATTTTGGAAAAATCTTGCACAGTAATCATTTGATACATAGGAATTTGTATTGTATTGTAAAAATTCCAATTGAACTTATTCCACCAGATATGATTATTTACATTTTGCTCTCATGGAATATGAACTTGAGCTGGATATGAGAAATACGTCTTAGATTATTTTCGATCAATGGGACTATAAGAACTGCGCAAATGCTTATACGGGAATAATTATCCAAATCACACTTTGTGTGTACAACAATAATGATTGCCGATACTCTTTATTGATGATAACTATTTATTTTTTGTTCCAGATAGCTGATCAAGACATCTAATGATCCAAACGATGTTAATCAGAGCCTATGAATCATCACCAGCGAATCCAAAAGGGGAATAAATACGAATAACACCGTTTAATATCGCCTAATATGCTCTCACCCCAGAACCTTGTTTCCCTCGATGGCAAACGACACGCTGAACGATGTGTGGCCTCATAAACGAGGTAAACTCAGAGAACGCAGCCCATGAACAGTGTTTACACACATCGCTAAACAGGACTTAATGTTTCGTTGAAGAGCCTTGCCAATTTTGATAATGGTAACGTATGGAATGGACTAGGCGACCGACGGTAACTGTAGTGCAAACAGAATTTAATCTAAAAGTGCAAGAATTTGTGTAAATATCAAACTATGAGTGAAGTTCTTTTCAGTCGTTTCACTTTATTAAGGCAAGTGTGGATTCTGATAGTGGTTTCCAGTCCAATTATGTCAGGTTAGTATGTATTGTTTGTTTGTTGTGAGTTAATGCTTCAATGGTTCTCTATATTTTGCCTGATCATCAGATTATAAAGGACATGTTCTGTCCCTGTAGTTCCTTTAGTCATCAATATTAGCATTATATTTTATCCCAGTTGATAACGGTTCGAATCATGAAAATAAATTTATTGGTTGGAAACTTTCACGTTAGAATTTGGTGAGGAAAACCCGAAAAATGAATACGTTAGTTAGATGTTTCATTTTCAAAAATTCACTATGATGTGTCTATTGCAGACCACTATTGAACGTTGAGAAAATAAGGCATGGAAATCATCCATCCTTCTCAAAGTGGTCCAGATTTTTTTAAAAGAAAAAACACAAACACCCGTCCGACTTAGTGTTTGTGTTTTTTCCTTTGTTGAGAAAATAAGTTGATACCTGCAAGCAATAACACTTTATTAAATATCACTAAAACGACACATTCACAAAGTGAAGTATAATAATTGCGTCATATAACCTGTTCAGAACGTGAACATTGTATTCAACGACTTTGACTTGTGATGATTCTATATTTGAGATAGTGTATAATAGAACGTTTTTCGAAATATAGAATTCAACGAATCATGTACAGGTATGGTAATTTAGAAAATTATCAGTTTCTCAAACAAAAAAAGAACAATCATTCGAAAATCTCCATAATTTTCAAGTTATTCGAACGGATTAACCTCGAGATCAACCAAAATTGACCAACCAAAAAAATGCATCATTGAGACTTCTTCTCAACAACAAGTTGACATTTCCAGATTTGAAATGACCGTTTCGTCTTCCAGAAACCATAATCCACTTATCAATTTTCAAATAGGGACTTGAGATTTTTCATGTCATGTACACACAAAAAAAGAATCTCTTGTATTGAGCATGACTGCATTGGTCCAAGAAAATAATTTGTTTGTATATAACGAAAGAGATGATATTCTTGTTCCGAAACAATGATTTATTCAACAAGTCTCTTGTAGGAAAATTAAGATATGCATGGTTGGAGACGTCTGTTATGTTGAAGTGAGAATGAAATCAATTCATATTCACAAAACCATTTACTTATTTCAGGAAAACCATAATTTTGAGGTGAGAAATCCATCCACCAAGTGAAAACAATAATTTTCCTAATTTGCAACTATGGATTACTTTTATTGAGAATTGTTCTCTTTCATTTCAAAATAAACAATTTATTCTAGTCAAAATTCTGTTAATCTTCAATAAAAACATTGATATTTTCGATCCGAATTCATGAGTTTTTCATAATTAATATTTAGCTCATTCTCTCCAATGGGACTATTTTTTGTTTCAAAATATTGACTGCTCAGTTGAAAATATCATAATGTTTTTTATTCAAAACTGTGAATGATTCCTAATGAGATAATTAAACTCCACAGAATATTCGTGTAAAAATATATTTTTGTTTCTTTAGTTGACCATAATCCCATGTATAGGTACATCTTGGATCAGTTTAGTCCATCATGACCCCAAATGGTTATAGAATAATCCCATGCATGCATTGATTTCGTCTTCTTGAAGTTTTGCTGAAAATGATAACGGTCACAAACAATGACATGAGTATTATAATTGATTAAAAACTCACCTCTATAATATGTAATATCGTGACTCCAGTAATATCATGCCTTCTGGAAGATATCGGGTATATAGATTCGAGATACTCGGCAGGAAACTTTCTCTCACCTAATTTCAAGGTTCTTTCAAGTATTTGCAATACCTCATTTGTAGATAATACTTCTTCATTCATCAACCAGTTGTCATTTTGCTACAAAAGAATTTCGTATTACAGAATGAGCATATTTTCATAGCAGGATAATATTGAATTCCAGTAATTTTGATTGAAAATTTGTTGATTCACTCACAATGACTACCGAAATTTGCAAATACCTACTTACCAAGGGAATTCAATGTTGTACCTTCATCAGCTCTCGACAAGTTCAGCATTTGTTAGATATTTATGTTCTAAGACGATTCACACCTAATACACACTCAATATATAACATAAAAAATTTTCAAACTACGCAGCTTAATGCCGTTTCGCCGCTGTGGGCCTGTCATAATGATGTGAGCATTGTCAATAATGATTGTAGACTGGGGACTGAGTTTTGGCAACAGGATTGCTTACCCTTGATAATCGAGGCATATCATTTTCATTCAAAGAAATACCTACTCATAGACTTGAATCAAGTAAATAAAGTATTGAATCAAAATGTTGCTTCTTCAGTTAGAGAAAATATTAATATCATCAAGTTGAAGATATTACATTACTTTCATTTGAGAAAATTGATATTCATATTTTTGAATCAAGTAAGTATGGCATAGAATTGATCTATCAGAAGTCTTCGAGTTGATGAAATTGTGATATCAATATAATGAAATTAGAATGCTTCATTTGAAGAAATAATTATTTATATTTTTGTATCAAGAAAATTACGTATTGCCTCAACATATTCGGTTTTTGCAACTTGAGAAAACTGAATATATCATTCGAAGATATGAGCATTCTTTGATTTGAAGAAATGTATACTTATAATCTTGGATCAAGCAATAAATTTATTGAAACAAAATAGTACGCTTCTGCGAATTGAAAAATCCGTTTTGATTGAGTTGAAGTAATTAATTTATTAACTGAATGATTGCATTCTTGGTTCAAGAATGTATTTCAATAATATGACACTATTTTCTTGAACATACCAGATTTTTTGACTCAAAAGAATATGCTCAATTCAAAGCAGATATACCATTGAATTTTCAAGAGAATGGGTTTTCTCATTCGAAGAAATTTTTTTTCTGTGTGTATGTTACCTTTAGATAGCCCAAAGGTCAGATTTTCCACAGATCTTGATTCGCAAAAGTTTCGCTCACAAAAATTGACAGTGTCGTATCGGATAGTTGAAACTATTGATTTTTCCACACAAAACATTCGGGGGAGAGGTGAGAAAAAATGAAATCGATACATACCAATAACATTTGAATTCGCATAGCAAATGCGTAAGTATGTTCGATTCACTGCATCTATCACTTCTTATGAATAATACGATTGACTCAAAGGGGGTTGGTTTTCGAGAGTATTTTCTGACCGTTGGTGAAAATGAAGGTGTTATGTAATAATATGTTTCCTTACACCAAGAGTTCAGGTACAGATACCGGCAGATACCGGTAGTCAAGCATATTCGATAATGTAGAGATAGGCACATTACAAGCTTATACCTAATAATTGAAAATACTTGGACAACATATCAGGTTCGTATATTTCAATCATTATTACATTCATTATGAAAATGGTAATGAAATGATCGCACTCAAAATCATCGGGAAATCATCAAGCAAAACGTTTGAAGAACGTTTATGAACAAAATATTCGACGACAGTTGATTCGAAAGAAACGATAATTCCTCTTATCAATTCGTTTTTCGAATTTGAACAATTGATTATGGTTATTTGAAAAAGTTATTTGCCCTGAGATAAAAATTAATAACGGATATTGTGAACTGAATTAACTTCATAAAACGATTTGAATAAATAGGAGACAGCCTAGCGGTCCTTTTATTTCTATATTTACCGAATAAAATTCATCAGATAATTTCGTCACGCATGACTTGAAGGCTACACCGCGGACAAAAATACGTTCATTCATCAATGTGTGTTACTTCAATTGGAGAGTTTATTCTGATTCATTCATCCTCAAATAATTATTATCCAGAATAGATATCATCTATTTGACAAATTCATTTTCTGGAGCTCTGTCAGTGAGAATTACGTTCATGAGAAATGTTGAAAATATTTATAATATATATAATTAATTGATGATCAATCGGATTCTCGATCTGACCTATTATACACCTAACGTATAGGATATGATAAACTGCTGCATCAAGAATATGAATGCTGTCATGACGTCGGAGAAGAACAGTGTGGATGGAAAAACATTACAAAATTGGATTTCAAAAAAAGCAAGTTCAATGATGGAGAAACAATGAAAATGTACCGTAGAATCAGTATTCTTATTGGTTGAAACTAAAATGAAGCCAACATTTCAAATTGAAATATCACTTCTGAATGTTTCGGCGAATTCCCCATTTTTTTGTCAGAACCTCACTCGAGCACGACTCAGAATCAGATTTCATGACCGTATTCAACAAATTGGAATGCACAACATTCGTTCGACCGACTCGATCGACATAATTTTGATAACTGTCGCGAGGAGCACGCGCAGTATGTCAAATAACCGAAAAAAATCTTGTTCGTTTCTACCCGAGAAACGTCCGTCAACGATCTGCATTATTTATCATACGTTTAGACATAATTCCCCATACGAAAAAAAAACCAATGGGGTCAATAATTGATATAATTTCAAATTACTCAGACATAACGAGAACATTTGATGAGTGCTTTTTCCTCAGCGTGAGCATCGACCAGTCTCCACTGGTTTCGAATGATTATTCACCACATAAATAGTGGTTGATAAAACGTTTATGTACTGGTTGAAATTGACGTGTATGTCAGCGTTTATAACCGTTGTTGTATTTTCACCAAGTTATTTCGATGTGAGTTTGTTAGGATATTGATAACATGCATAGGAGACTTCATTTTAAATTTTTATCAAGTTTATATCCGGACGATCAGACACAAGAAAGTTGAGTGATAATATTGAAACCGATTGAAACTCAATTTATCATCATAAACAACTCCAACTGTTAGTATGTCCAATCCATATTATTTCTCACAGCTCGCTGAATGGTGATGCAGGGTTCGAACCAGAATGTCTTGAGACGAATGTCATTCATAGTCACAGGAAGTCGGGCTCAAAGATCAACATTGAATGGAAAAAATATGGGAATTGTTTGAATATAACTTCTTTATATAATTAATCATCATCATTCAAAATGCTTGATGGATGAGGACTCGGATGAGGATTATTATTCTTGACATCATGGTTCGGTGGAAATGGCAATAATCCGA